TGTCCTCAAGGGACAGCGCTGTGGCCCAGGCCTGGCACTCCTGGCTCCTGGGAGCCAAGGACCCGGGTGCTGCCATCAGCTGCCAGCAGTGCCTGGCTCCCACGCCAGCTGCCGGGCAGGGGCAAGAGCGGGAATGCGGGGTCAGCCTGGACCGTGGTGCCTCCCCGGAGATGGGTCGGGTGCCTCGCCGTGTGGCTCCCCGCGGAACCAGCTTGGGTCTTTCTACTAGAGACTTGATGGGTTAGAATGGCAGGGTTGTTCCTAAAAGGGTATGGTGTGGGTTGGAGTTTTGGTTTATTTTCATCGTTAAGGCAGACTATAACAGTGCCGGGCCTCCCTTCCTCTGGAGGGGCGGCAGTGCCAGCACGGGGACCCTTCAGATGTCCCAGCCAGCTGTGTATCCAGCTGTGCCCTGGGCAGTGAGTTGTAGAGGAGATGATATCAACCGAAGTGATGTACTTCCACCTCAAAAATTATTTGTCATTGTTGTAAGTAATGTGAAGTTCCTAAAGCCTACAGAGGTTCAATAAAAAGCACATTTGACAGCAACTTGTACAGCACCAGTTTCACAGTTGCAGACTGCATCTATTGCTGCCTGTTGGGTTTTGAGCATCTTTAATGTGGGAACAAAGACAGTGAAGCTGGCTAATACAAGAAAAACTGAGCCATCGAACTCAAACCATGTTAATTAACAAAGTGATTAAATCTGGTTGTAGTCCCTCAACCTTTTCCTAACATGGGCTGGAGTTCAAGCTAAGTGTCCCATGTGCCGACAGTTTTTCTAAGCAATCTGGTTTTGGAATATCTTTTCACCAGGACTGACTGACGTATAGGGGAGGGAGGTGCACGTGGATTTTATGTATTCCTAAACTAGCACTTTAGGAAAGAGTTGAATTCAAGGAATAATAAAGAAACAAAAAATCCCACCAAAGTCCTGTTTTAAAATTTTGCTATTTAAAAATTATGCATGTTCCTTTGCCTGACCACAGAAGCTGTGTGTGTCGTACAGGGGCTTGACCTGAGCAGGGGCTTGTGAGCAGCAGTTGCAGAAATGGGAAGAGCAGCCAGTGCACTTTGCTGATCAGACAATAAACACGCTTTTCTCCCCCGCGCTTCGGATAATTGGAGGGTCTTGTCAGCACACTTCTCTTGCTTCCTGTGCCCCGCGCCGAGTCTCCGCTCAACAAAACATGGGTGCAAACAGTAACAACAAATGTCAGCTCTGTTATCGGGCTGCGCGGGGGCCAAGGCCTTACTCAGCTCAGTAAGATTAAGCGCGAAGAGCTGCAGTGGAGTGGTTTGCCCCCATCTGAGAGGTGTTAGGCAGAAGTTCAGCTGTGCTTCTGCGTAGCCTCGGATCTGTGCTGGAGTCTCCTTTTGGGAACTATCCGTCGGGCTTTAGTCTGGTGGGGTGATCTTATTTCTGCTGCCCTTCTCCTTGTGTTTGCCGCCTTGTCTCCTCTCATTCCATAACAAACCTTTTGGCACAGGGGCTCTTACCAGCTTGCACTGTGCAGGGCAAGTGCCCAGCTGCTAATAGAGCAAAGACCTTTCCCTGGGCACGGTGCTGCCTCGTGCTCGCTCCTTGAAGGTGAGATCTTCTCCTGCCTTTCTCTTCCTGCATGTGCCTCTGTCTCTTCAGTGGAGGGCCCGGGGTCTGTTTGCTTTGCCCTCTGAGCGGTGTGTGCCGCTGATTCGGCTGGACGCAGGGTTGCATTGGAGAGGGACGTTTGCAGGGCGCATCCTCGCAGACGGCGCTGCTGCTGGAGTCTGTGAGTGACCAGGGCCTTCCCCAGCTGCTGGAAGCAGCTTTTTGGCCTGGGAGCCAGAATTCCTTGATGGCTTTTTGGTAAAAGTAATACTGAGATCGGGCGGTTTCTGTGCTTTGTCTTCACGGACCCCTCCTCACAGCTTGCCCCAGCGCACCCTTGCGCGTAGGGTGGTAATGAGAGCCTCGATGTGCTGACTTTTCCAAACTATTGTTTGGAGACTGTAACTGAAGTTGCTGTTTCCTCATTAGAATAGCCTTTGTCAGAGCGTCTTTAATCAACGGACTCCCGAGAGACAGGATTTTTAGAACTTCTTTTTATACCTCCTCTTCGGAGTTCTTTGCACTGTACCTTGCGAAGAAACTAATGAGATGCTGTGAGAGTTCGGGCTACTGTTAATTAGAAGAGGTCTGAGGAAGAAGTACTGCACATACATTAACTTTATCTTGGCTCACGTCTCCTCTCTCCCTCTGTCTTTTCTTTCCAGGTTGCACAAACAGCAGATGGCTTGGACGCTGACCTCTGGAAAGATGGCTTATTTAAATCCAAGGTCACACGATACCTGTGCTTCACGAGATCGTTTTCAAAAGAAAATGTAAGTTCGTTTGACTGCCTGCATGATTTGCATCTGTGCCTGGTATGCTCTTACCCATAAGATGATTCATTTTATGGAGCCAATTATAATTCAAGCAGGCATTTCACGGGGTTTGGGTGAGTCAGGAGGCAAACTGCAACGGCTAGATATTTGCATCTTGTCGATGTTCTTCATGGAAAGAAATTGCTGGCAAAATCTGCAATAAAAGCAGCAGAAAAGGGAATGCTTGCATTTCAGCATAGCAACCCCTTCACCCTAGTGTTCCCTGCTGTAGCAGTGGGCGCTACATGCTCGTGATCCTGATGAATTTCTAACTCTTAATTACCTAGAGAAGTAAGTGCTGCAGGTAGTGGTGCTGAAGGAAATGTTTTTTGAATCCAGGGGCATCGTAGATATTTTCTTGCAGGATTAGCTTTTCTTTCTTTGTTGTTTTTGGTGCTGATTCCTGACAAATTGCCCACGTTGTGCATATGCTACCATATTCCTGTAATCTTCTAGTATGGCCATTAAGCATAAGTTAATTTCTGATTAGTAGCAGTTGTCTGCCCACATCTTCCGTGGAGGAGAGGAGACCATGTGCGGTGAGAGCCTGATGCCTTCTACTGTGTTTTTGGTTGATGCTAGTGTGAAAACTTCCTCTTTTCTGGGGAACTATTTAATTCTACAATGAATGCACTCCATCTAGTGGGTAATCCTGCTTTTTGTCGTGTTTTGGATATTCACAGTGACTCAGTTGTCAGGGTATGGAGATACCATTTTGTACTCCTGCTTTCACTGGCGACAGGAACAGAAAAGCGACTGCGACTTCCGAGGCTGATCACGGCTCCTGACAGGAAAGCCAGGGGCTGCCAGTTTCCAGCATTTGACCTTTATTCCATCCACTTTCCTGACTGCCTCTAGATTAAAATAAAGCTCCAGAGCTATGGGAAATATCACTTCCTGGGGTGGATGGAAAATAATTGTGCTTTTCATCCTGGAGTACCTGCAGTAGCAGGAATAACAGCCCCAGAATAGGCAGGGAGGGTATTAAACAGAAAGATCTGTGGCGATTTGAGTATTAAGTTTACCTTCAGTGCGAGCTTGTCAGAAATAATTACAGGATAGTAGCAACTGCTGGCTACCGGAGACGGTGTGAATACCCTCCGTCAGTGCCTGTTGGGCGTTTGGCATGAATCCTCTGCTCGGCACAGTTTGGGAATACGTTCCTCATATTGATGAGGAGTGAATTACCGGGAGCGTGGGGGGAGGACTGCCGGTCCCAGCTGCGCAGCCGCATGGCGTGCGAGGTGTGGCACGGGGCGCTGCGTCCCGGTCTGGAGCCCTGTGTCAGTGGCATTAGACCCACGGGTGCTTCTGGCAGAGCTCCTGGGCAGCAGCCTGCAGGCAGTGCTGCCGGTGTTTGGGCGCTGGCGTAGAGCCGGTGCCCCTGTGGTGCACCGCGGCCGTACCCGATGGACGGCGGGGGTGCCCTCTCTTCTCAGAGGGCGGATTTCCCTGGGCCGGTCAGCCTCCTCCGGCCAGCTCGTCGGGCTCCCTCCTGAGGACGCCCCTCTGCCTGCAGGAGACAGAACGTGTGCTCGTGCTGCTTGAGGCCATGGGCTTCGTGTGTGCGAGGGCGCCTTTTTGCGAGGCAGAGACCAGACCGGGAGGTGCTGGTGCCAGTCTGCCAGCCCCTGGGAAGCACACAGAGCTGATCAGGTCCTGGTCCTCCGGCTGTGGGAAGGCTAGAGGAGGGTTGATGGGCTTGGGAGGAGGAGGGGACCAGACCGGTGGGGGAGCAGCCATCTCCCCTTGTGCAGGGAGCAGCACCCTTGCCCCTGGTTAGCCCAGCAAGAGCTTTCCCTCCCCTCTCTGTCCCCTCCAGCTGCACAGGGGTACAACGGGCTGCCCAGCTGGGGACCTCCGAGGGTTAAAAGGCCTCGGTCCGCCCCCGTAGCAGTGACCAGGACCTCTCATCCAGGAGGGAGAGGCTCCTCTCGCCTGGATCTTGATGTGTTGCTGTGCTTTGGGTTGGAAGTTTTACCCCTCGGGGTTTTTTTTTTTGGTTTTAACAAAACACTGGGAACTATTTGTCCTGAAGAACATGTTCGCAGAGTTAATGCACTTCAGGTACCTGGTTTATAATGGAGACAGTCTGTAGCGTCTCTTTATCGAAACCATCATTCTCAACAGCTCACAATATTTGGCAGATGATGAGAACGTTGCTGGTATTTGAGTGTCCTGGTGAGAGGAGGCCCCGAATGGTGCAGCTCCCAAACGGGGAGGCTTTGTGCCTTTTTCCCCCTGTGCGCATGGCAGAGCATCGGTGCTGACTCCCAGCGTTTCATCAGCTAACGAACTTATCAGAGACCCCTCTCCTACCTGTCTGCGGTTGATGGAGGAATGACGGTTGGTTCAGCTGGAAGTTGCACGCTGATGTAACACAGCCAGGCAGTTTGGATAAATAAAACATGAAAGATGAATCAGCAGCAACCACTTCATCTACCATGTGCTGTGCCAGGACCGTGTTAACTGATACACTCGGGCTTCGCAGCATCCAGCGTTGCTCACGCTGAGATGCCCTGGCCGAAGGGGGGGATGGAGGCATGTGGGGGCAGCCCGGCCTCGGCCGCTGTGCGTGAGCCAAGGACGTGTGCCACGCTTGCGTGGCGGGACAGGGCCTCAGGCGCGGTGGCCGTCCTGGTGAGGAGGTGACCATGCAATGCAGAACCTCCAAAGAACAAACTCACACCTGATCTCCCCTTACTTCAGAGGCTGTAAATTTAAAAACGTTTTAAAATAGTTCGGTGTAACGATCAGAGAGTAGAGGTTTGCCTGAAGTAGTCAGCCAGATAAAAACTAAAGGAGGTACTTAGCAGCCAGTAACAGTAAAACACACTGTCATGGTTTGATGGCTTAGGATGAAATTTTAATTGTTCTGTACTGCACTTCTGTTTATAAAGGCTGTGCGGTAACTAAAGCGTGTTTTTTCTTCCATACGTGAATCCAGATTACTGGCAGCAATGCTGGCTTTAACGAGAACTGCAAAGAAAATCTGGTCTCTAAACAATTGTGGAGGTTGTCATTCTGAATTGTGTTTTAAGCTCTTCAAGCCTTGATTAATAGGACGAGGCATCAGTTCAGAATTCATATGGACTCCAAATGAAGTTCTTCGTTCCAAATGGCCTGCTCTTCTGGAGTGCGCCTGCGTTTGGAGCTAGAACCATGTCTATTCAGTACTAATTAGCTAATGCATGTAATAACTTTGGCTGTGGCTGCGTGAACCATCTTCCCGTAATGCTTTCTGCTGTTGCTGTCACAGAAATGTCATGTTGCTACTGTAGATGTAGCGTGTGAGAATGAGGGTGACCTGCTTAGTGGATGAGGTGATGGAGGTAACACTGGGCTCTGCTGTGTTTCCAAAGGGATGAATTTGGTTGTGCTTCCGAGGAGCCAGAAGTATGGCAACGGATGAGGTGTAAGAATCTGTAAATGCTGGAAGCTGTCCAGTATCTCCTCGTCAATCGTCACGTAGTTACTGCAGAGGGGACGATTGCCAGTGTTGGCTTGGTACCTCCTAACCATTTTTAAAGTTGGTGGTCAGATACAATGACAAGGTGTCTTGGGGGTTCAGCGGGTGACAAAAGCTGGGTTTGAATTTGGTGACATTGTCATAGTCAACTGTTTCTTTTCTCTCTCCGAAGAGTCATTTAGGCAACGTCTTGGTTGATATGAAGCTCATTGATATCAAGGACACTTTACCTGTGGGCTTCATCCCCATCCAGGAGACCATCGATACACGTAAGTTGGTGTCTGTTCTTCAGTCCCGTGCCTTGGGAGCAGCCGCTCCGCTGGTGCCTGTGTGGTCGGGCGGTGGGGGGCTGCCCCCGGGCAGAGGGACGCTCTCGGCACTGCTGCTCTCTGGGGTTACGTGTTTGGGGGCAGCTCTGGGCTGCAGTGAAACAGCCTTTGGTTTTCCTCTACTCTTCAGGCTCTTTAATGCTGCTGCCTGCCTGTCACCAGCTTGCCTGCTAGAGCAGCACAGCTCTGGGGCAGGGAGGGATGGTTTATGGCTTTCATCTTGCAAGGGTGTCCTAGGCCTAGCAGGAGCAGAGCTGCTGCGCTGAGGGACATTCACAGATGGATACCGAAAGGAAGGGCATGTGCTCGTGGTGCTGGATTCGTGCACGCTGGCTTTACGCCATGGGCGAACGAAGGCCTATGTCCTGGCAAGTAGTGCTGAGGGTGGCGGGGTGTGTTTGTGCTGGCTGAGAGAAGGCGCAAGTGGAAAGCCCAGGGAAAACACCATCCTCATTTCTGGAAGGCAGAGGTGGCTTTGCTTGCAACACTTAAGGCAGCAGTTTCCAAACAGCGTATTCAGATCCCCCAAGACTCATGCCAGCAGGAGCCACGTCTGGTTGCAGCACTCTGCTCTGCAGCAGGCATCAAGTGCTTTGGGCTCACAGTGCGGAGGGGGCTGGGGACGAGCCCCACGGGAGCTGCGTGTGGAAGGGCTGCAGGACACCGCGCGCTGGCGTGGAGTGTGCAGCTACTGCTCGAGAGCCGGGCTGGTACCAGGGCTCGTCAGTAATGAAATCCAGCCTAGTTATGAATAGAGAGGAGTTACATGAGCCTGCTTTGCAGGGAGCAATTCATCCAGGTCTGCAGCAGATGAGGGTGGTTTTTCAGGCACTACCGACCTGATCCTGATTTGAACCCGTGCCTTAGAAGTGAAAGGCTCTGCAGCCCATTTCCCATTCCCCTGGGTCACCCCCTTTCCCTGGGGAATTCCTGGGCACGTGTGGCACAGGGAGAGTCGTCAGCTTATCCTGCTCACCCTTGGGAGTGCTGGACACCCACCATGCGCTGCTGTAATTTTTGTCAAAGTCCTGGTGGAAAGGGACTTTGTAATTAATTTAAAACGCATTGGATTACAGCCCATGTAATCTTTAAAGCAGAGGTGCTGTCTGTATTAATGAAGTGGTGCATATCCCTGCCTCCATTAGCATGAACATTTCGATTGACTGTTTATAATATGTTTACTTAAAATTAACTCTGGTTAAGCATGTGTCATTAATGAATCCAGCTCCTAAACCAGGTTTGCTTCCGACTGCACACCCTAGCCAAATGCGAGAGAGGCCAAAGACAACAGCAAATCGTCAGCTTTGTACTTACTGGCACAGTCAAATGAGAGGCACTGATTTTGTTCAGAGTTAAATTTGTAGTTATACGTGTTTCCGTGCTCCTCTATAAGTGACAGCCGACTTGTAGTAGATATATTAAATACAGTAGTCCTTACTAGGTTCTGAGAAAATGTTCAGATGTGGAAGCCTTAAACCCTGGGCTCCTAAAATGAGTTTTAGGCACTTAAAATAAAAGCCCTGGTTTTCCAAAGCAGAAGACTAGACTTCAGGGATACAGGTATTTGACATCTCTAAAAAGCAGCACTGTAACTGCAGAGCTGCGTGCACAGATGCTGTGTTGTGACACACCTCGCGCTCGCTGTACGTTTATTGGTGCTGGTGCGACAGCAAATTTCAGAGGCCGGGATGGATTGCTTTCTCCAAGGTGCGGATTACGAAACAGGAGGAGCCCACAGAGACAGGGCTGCTTGCCATCTGTTGCAGTGAGAGCGTATTTTTAAGCTGGAGGATATTTACTCCTATGAAACTGAAGGGGTTTTATTTTGCAGGCGCTTGTTTGTAGTTGTTGGTTGTTTCCAGATTTTCATTCAGTGTCTGCACGTTTCAGTTTATCAAAAACAATTGTCGTGTCTCTCAAGTGCCTGCATTCACAAACAGAGACCTCGCCTTGCGCACGTGGAGACTCGCGGACCCTTTAGGGTGAGATGGAGCGAGGATTTCCAAGCACCGCCAGTCTGTGTGCCAGTAGCGCCGTTGTCATGCGGCTGACCCATGGCTGGACGTGCAGTGGATCCGCATGCAGGCAGACAGCGTTGCCTATACATTAATTCGTTATGCAGATAAGCCTTAACTCTGATGGGCTTGAGTCTTTCTCGATGGATAACACGGAAACAAGTGAAATGGCCCTGCGAGGCATAGCAGGAAAGGCCACGCAGCAGGTCCCTCCGCGCTCCGAACACAGGTCAGTGCAGCACAGTTGCCCCGTAGGAGGTCCTGGCAATTACTGCACGTAAATCTGGTTTATCCCCACAGATAGCAGGCAAAACGCGGTGGGAGTACCATTTCAGCGCTTGCTGACTGAGTCGGGGAGGTCATTCATACCTCATACGCGTGAGCTTTGGGCAGACAGCTGCTTTTGTTAGCTGCTCTGCACGGCAGTCTGTTTCTCTGCCTGCTCCTCCTCGGTTTGGTTGGCTCTTTGGAAGCACCGGTTGTGTCAGCAGCTTCCAGGTATGTTCCTAGAGGCAGTGCTTGTGGGAGGAATGGTTAGATAGGACTATCCAGGCTGGTAAGGCAAGCGTTTCCTTGGAAAAGAGAAAGCGAATGCGAGAAGTCTGTGGAAGTGGAGAAATCACCTGCCGTGTCTGCTCCGTGGTGCAGGACTGTGGCGTACGTGATGTCTTATCTCCTCTGCAGAGGGTAGCAGGGAGTATTGGTTTATTGCAGTGCCTAATAACAAATCTCACACAGCGTACAGAGAGCTCCTGATAGAAAATTTCTCCAGTCACTGAATGGCACTGCACTGCCTGGTTCGCTGACATATATCTGTTCTTTGGCTCCAGTTCCTGCCATAATTATCTGCCTAATATCTGGAGAGACGATAAATAACATTTATACCCTAATCTTGCATAAAACCCACCCTGTGTCCTGGGTTGTTTTTGCAGAAGAAATAGCTTTCAGAAAGAAGAGGCTGTGCATTAAATTCATCCCTCGAGATTCTACAGAGGCAGCGATCTGTGATATCCGAATCCTGGGTAGATCTAAACAAGCCCCTCCTCAGTACACGTTCATCGGGTAAGTACCCCTCGCTCCAGAAGCTGTTGTCGTAAACTCCATCGTGCCAAGGCTAAGCACCCTGTTTTCCTGCAATTACTAAGTAGTGGTTTGTAAGAGCTGAAGCTTGTCATTAGAAAAGTCTACAGAAGTACAAGTGTTACTGAGTTTGATGTAGGAATTAAATACTCTCTCCCCCCCCGCCCTTTTTTTTCCGCAGTTAGGCTGGTTCTCACTAAGCAAGGTGTTTGTGAAACACATCAGTGCTCAATCCTTGTGCACGTGTGCAGTGTTTGCTTGTAGCATTAATGTCTTCTGTGTTGCTTACACAGGGAGTTGAACAACATGGGCATTTGGTACCGGATGGGCAGAGTTCCACGCAACCATGAATCTTCACAGCCTGCGACTCCTCCTTCCCAAGTACCGTCTTCGACACCAGCTCCTAACCTGCCGAGGTACATTTTTAGCTTTCCAACCGCTTCTTGCCGCTGCAGGGCGTATTGTTACTGACCTTGCCTGGTGGAATCAAGACCAGGGTAGCACATCAGTATGAATGGTTATGTGGCGTGATCTGATCATGAGGGAATGTGGTGTTCTTGCAAGTATTTGCCTACTGGAAGGTATTTTGGCTGCTGTTGTATAAAGACATACGGGTGAAGAAGTCAGAAGAAAGAAGCAGCCTACAGAGGAAGGGAAACAGCAAACTACACCTTGTCTTTGCTTTAAACTGTGCGGGGCGTTACAGTTCCCAACAAGTATGTGTGGGTCACCCTTGGAGGGTGGGCTGGGATTGTAGCCAAGCTGATTTCCCTCCTTCACCAAAGGGAGGGGGAAGAGTTCATACAATTTCAATGCACAGGGAGACAAGTCCAGCTCATTCTTCAGAATTGGTCCACGCATGGTTTGAAGTACTGGTTCTGCTTTTGCTTTTCTTGGGCCCGACTGCCGTGCTCCAGTCTTGCAGCTGACATTGAGCATGCAGAGCAGACTGCTCATCCCGCAGTGACGCGCTCCAGGGCAGACGCTGCCGTCATGTCTGTCCAGGTTGTTTTCCCTGTGTTACAGACAACACTGGTGCGTGTGTATAAATGTATGCACTTGTGTGCATACTGGCATTTAATAGTAGTCCTGCATTGACAGCTTACTTGCTGGATTTCTCTGGACAAAACAGTGTTGTTAAGCAACAAACCAGCCCAGACAGAGGTGAAAGTGTGTGTGTTTTACTCCTGGCATTTGCTGTGAAAGCACAGCATCCAGTGTGAAACAGGCTCCTACTGCTGAGGCTCACAGGCTGAGCTCTGGGCCAGGCTCTTCCCAGGGGCAGCACGTTCTCTGGGTCTTTTGGGGCTTTTGCTTAATTAAGCAAACGCGTATTTTTGCACCAGGCGTTTGGTGTACTGCAGATGCATTTACAGTATTACAGTAACTGTTGAGAGCTAGAATTTCAAAGGAGACAGTGGAAGGGAATTCCAGGGGGATCGGTTTGTATACAAAGGTCATTGTATTGTATGGGTGGAAAATACTTGTGTCCTTCAGAGTCTTGGTATGCAGATCACATCAGTGAAACTGCTGTAAACTGTTCCCGAAAAAGCTATCTGGTCTCTTTTTAAGGCAGGTGTGTGCATCTGAGCCTTCACCCGTGGCCCAGGTTGAAGTCTACTGTCTTGTGGTGGCTCTCTGAACCCTCCAAAGCATTTGGGCGTTCCCTTCACTGAGTTTTGCTCAGTCGCTCTGCCGTGCCCTGGCACACGGCTTGCTGTCCTGCACTGTCAGGTGTGCTGTAGGCAGGGATGCTGTCTCGCTTCTCAAACAGAGATGGAGGCAAGAGAGATGAAAAGCCAGCAGTCTTCTGGAGATTTCAGCCGGTCCCCCTGGGAGTTGAGGCGTTGTTGTGAAGCTCCGCTGGACATAAGCTACATGCTAGCACAGGCCATGCGAGATCAGAGAAAAAGATGTCTTGATTTTAGAGCACAGATCTTCGTTTTCTGTCTGTAAGAAATTCCTGCCTGGGCAGATTTCCACAATAAAGAGAAAAAATTATCATAGCAAGAGAATGTCAATGGTGGTCCTTAATCGCTAAGTGTGGAAGGGTCACTTTATGGCTGAGCAGGGAAGGCTGCAGAGCAGCGTCAGAGCTATTGGGAACAGGGCCAAAATTAGAGCTTGGAGCATCAGCGACAGTCTGAAAAGAAGTGTTTACAAGGCTTATATATTTTATAACCTCTTGTTGTACAGTTTATGGTTTACAATGGCTGCAAGGAAATTGGATCAGTTTTGTTTTACTTGCCAAATAAAGCAAATGTCAAAATAGTCAATATAAAATGTATTCTAATTTGGCTGAGTTAAAACAGCCAGTATGCAGTGGAATAATTGAATGTTACATTAATGCCTTCTAGTAAAAACCACCTGTCTGTAGCCAGCTCCACTCTCGTGCTCTGCCTGTGATTTACAGGTAACTTTTACACCACCAGCCTGATCATTCAAGGCATCTTTCATGTCTGGTTTTTTTACTCTGATTATTTATTATCCAATATATTTTTTAAGAAATAGAAATGTATATAAAGGTGCATCCTGCAAATATTTTATTATTACGGGCAACACATACTACTTGAAAGCCTTTTCTAATACTTTATCAGCAACGTGGTAAGTTCCTCAACACTTAATATCTGTGGAAGATTGTAGTCACAAGTAACCTCTTATTTTTACGTCACCATAGAGAGATGGGATTACACTGGTAGCCAGTTTGCTGTTTTATTCCATGTGGATATATCCTGACAGGAACAGCAGCGAGCAATTCCAATGCTGCCGTGAGTGCTAAGAAAAAATTGGTGAGCAGTGCCGAATAGAGAGCGCGGTAGAGATTCTGCCGTTAGGCTGGTCAGGTACTTAAGCTCTTCTCTTCAGTTGCTGTCTGGCATTATAAAATGATTTTAAATCAAGAGGGTATGCTTGGGTGCTTCAGAACAATTGCTAACACTGGATATAAACTAAACCAGTAAAACACACCAGTGAGCTTCTGCACAGCAAACCCTTCCGAAATGGAAGGACTTTTTACCGTGGGAGACGTTTATTTCTGCACCAGCCATGTTTCCTCCTCTGATCCATGACGTAAGTTACTGATGGCAGCGATGGTGGCACATCAGAGTTTTGCCGTGTGTCAGAGGTTTGACCTCCACAGCTGGCTGCACGTCAGCGGTGCTGCCGTCACTGCTTGTGCCGCGGGGCTACGGCTCGCAGTCAGAGCGGCACAAGGGGAGGCTTTGTTTGATATTCGTGCTGGACTGCATATGTTATTTTTCAGCCATTTCTTCTCCTTGGTGTTTCCTACTGCAGGCATCTGGCTTAATGGTCTCTTAACGGCAGCCCTTGCCATCCCAGTGAGGATGGCATGCTGTGCTGTGGAGCACAACCGAGCCATTGTGCAAGGCATCAAGCTGCTTTACTGTCTTTTCTCTCCAAATCCTGCGACAGCTTCTTGGCACTAATGGCAGCCTGGAGAAATGCACTTGCAGTTTCCCATTCTAGAAGGCTGCTACTAAAGAACTGCTTTTGTCGACTTGAGTCACTAGTGGGAGTTATATGGAACTTCCCCCAGCACCTCTGCTCTGTGTTCGAGGCCTGCGCGCTCCGGTGCTGCGTGGTGGCACCGCTTTGGGGAGCAAGAAGGTAATCCTCCCCCAAAAGAGGTAACTCACCCGGCCCTTTGCACGCTTTTTCTGCGGATAGGCGATTGCTGGTGCGTGGGCTGGGGACTTGTGCGTCACGAGCGTTCGAGCAGCGCCTCGGGGCTTGGCCCCTCCGTGCCTCAGGCTCTGCTGGAGCAGGGTTCGTGTGTGATCTCCTCTTCCTGAGCCCAGTTCCAGCCTTTGGGGAGCAAGTCCCTGACGTCCGTGAAGGCATGCGGAGCCAGCCTCGAACCATCCTGCCCTGCGGCTGCCTGTGCGATGGCTCCCGGTGCAGCCGCGGTGCTTTGTGGGCCCGTGTGGCTCCTGTGGTTCGGGAGCGCGTTTCGCATCCCTTCCCGAGGTGCCGCAGGAGTCTCTCCCACTGCCATCCAAACAGCCCTCTCACAATTTGTCAGCTGCAAGCAAGATGTCAGTCAGTGCTGCTGAAGTGTGTTTTACAGTGACAGACATAATTGCACTTAACTTTTTGCGTGGATGTTATCAATCTGTGACGGATACTTTGGGAAATGGAGCACTCTGATTGCAGATGATGTGTCACAGGCGTTTAATCTTCCTCTCGGAGAGACCGGGATTCAGTCACAACTTTTACTTGTTGATGTCAGGTTTTGAAAATGTAGATTTTGTGCTGACCCTGGGAATCGTTCCGTCATTTAGTTTGCAGGCCTGTCATCTGAAAGGTTAATGGCTTGCCAGGGAGAAGGAAGATCTGGCTGCAACCCGCTCCTATTCATAGCGTGCGCTCGCGTGGCTGGGCGCTCGGCGCTTCGGTTCGGAAGGGCAGAACTCCTCCTGTGGCCTGTCTCCCTGGCTGTTCTAATTGAGAACCACAGAGGGAGGGCAGGGGAGGGGGTGGGCCAGTTCTGGGGCCGGGGTAAGCCCAAGCTGCAGGTCTCGGTGGGTTTGCGGTGCCCACTGCCATCTGGGAGGGAGGGAGAGCCATGAGCCGTTTGCTTGTGCGCTGGACTGACCAGGGGTGCCCACAGGTCAGCAAAGCAGTGTCAGCCCCACGCACTGCACCTCTGAGCATGCCTGGTGACCCCGAGAGGTGGCAGAGCTGTCGGGATGCCTGGCCTGGCCAGGGGAGGTGGCAGAGCTGTCGGGATGCCTGGCCTGGCCAGGGGAGGCCAGCGGTGTGGAGTGCTGCAGCTTGGGAGGGAGCTGCCGCCCTGGTGGGGTGGCGGTCGGGAACCCCGGGCGGCTTGGTGGGGTTTCTCGCACGCGGGGCTCCTGGTGCAGCCAGGCTCAAGCCGTCGTGGGGACTGGCAGGAGGAGGCACCGGTCTGCAGAGCAGGCGGAGAGCAGTGGCCGCTTCTCCGAGAGCAGCACGCTGCTGGTGCAGCACGGCTGCCCGCTCCAGGGCGCTCAGCAACAGGGACAGCCAAAGCTGGCACAAGCCAGCCAGATCAAAAGGGCATGGCTTTCTCCTGGTTTGCAAGGCGACGTGGCCAGGCTGGCCTGAGAGGCCGCAGGCAGCAAGTGTAGGGTGGCGCAGGGGGTCTGTGTCCAGCCGGGCGGTACGAAATGCCCACCGTGGGCAGGCAGGGGACGGGGCTGCTGGTGCTGGAGGTGGGGCCCAGCTGGGAGAGGCAGTGGGTGCTTTGTACCGCACAGATGGGGTGCTGGCCCCTACAGCAGCACCAGGGTGGATGCAAGGGCCCTGTGCTGGTCTGTCTGGGGGGTCGGGGGTCCCTCTGGACTCTGCCCGTGGGGGCTCTGCCCCAGCCCAGGAGTGATGTCCAGGGACAGAGCAGCATGTGCACCTCTCCCTG